CTCTTGAGTTATTTTAGTTATGTAATATTAACCTTAACTATACTAACCATGCACTTAACATTAATCTTTACTAACTGGCAAAAAAGCGGGTGCGTCATGAGTTATTATTCACTGAAAACGGGGGGAGGTCACCTAAAAATATTGGATTAGAAGGGGGGAGTCCAGTTATTTTACTATAGTGGAGAAAAATGTGACATGCAACGATTATTGCTACTGCAGGGAGCGAGCAGGGCCGTCGAGACTGAGGGGTGTGACACCCCCTGAAAAAAAACATTTTCGGCAAATGAAAGATTTGTCGAAAAAAGAAAAAATAGGCACTCACTCCGAAAAAGTGTACGAGATAAAAACAGGAAAATAAAGAAGTCATCAAAATCTTGCTGGACATTGTCAGGACAGTGGCCCATCAAAACATGGCATTTCGAGGTGATGGATAGGAAGAGGACGGGAACTTTTGTCAGATCGTAAAACTGGTTTCAAGGCACTGTCCTTTGCTTCAAAGATGGATAGGAAGCAAGCGATCACGCTCACATTACATCATGTCACGTACATGTCGCCAGAATCACAGAAAGAAATTATTCAGTTACTAGCAAAAGATGTCCGACGTCAAGTAGTGAAGGAGATAAAGGATGCGAAGATTGTTTGGTGTTTATTCAGATACTACTCCTGATCTGTCTAGAAAAGATCAATTGGCGGTGGTGTGTAGATATGTAAACGAAGACGATGACTCAAAAGAACGACTTTTGTGCATAAAGAGCACTACTTCCAAGAAGGGCGCCGGAACTGCTGATGAAATCATCACAACATTTGAACAGTCATGCGTTGAACACAAACGAGCTTTGTTTCCAATCATATGATTTCACTGCCTCAATGTCTGGTCAATTCAATGGCGCTCAACAAAAGCTTCACGAGAAATTAAATCAAAACATTCCATACGTTCCTTGTCAAGATCACTGAACAAATACAGTGGTGGAACACAGCTGCGATGCAAGTGTTATCGTGAAAGATATGTTCAATGTCCTCGAAAGTTAATACGTATTTTTTTCGAGCACTACTAAACGGTAGGATCGGTAACTAATAAGTACTAATTGAAATAATCCTTGTCATTTTTATTTCTGCAATTTATGTTTAGTTCTGTGAATAAAAGTTAATAAAATGGCTCCTATGTAAGTAATTCTACTTTTCATCTATTAATCCTTATTTTAGGCATGAAGAGTTGGAAGAGAACATCAAGGTAGTGGAGAACGCCTTAAAGCTGAGAAATCTGTCAAAGACAAGGTGGACAAATGAAGCAGAATCTATATGTGTAGTTCGGACAAGCTACGAGCTTATAATGAACGCTTTATCTTCCATTCTGAATTCTGGCGACTTTAACAACAGCACCAAAGCGGCTGCGAAAGGTTTTTATGATAAAATGATGTCAATATGTTTCATTCTGTCAATCATGTTTATGAAGAACATCATGTCGAAAACAAAGCAGATGACCGAGGCATTACAAGAGGAAGAATTAAACATCCTTTGACGATTATCAGGGCGACCATTCAGATAGTCTCAAGAGAATCAACGATGGCATGGATGACGAACACGCCGGTATTGCGCATGCAGGCAAGTTAGGCGGTGATCTAGAAGCAGAATTAAATCGTAAACATCGCGTGAGAAGACCACCAAGAAGGATCAATGACAACCCCGACTCGCAAGCGACGCTAACAACAATGCAATTTTACAGGCGTGAATTCATATTCGCAAATAGAAACGCAAATTATTCAGTTGGGAGACAATCTGATCCAGTGTTTTGAGGCGGTTAAGCCACTTGCAACTGTGTTGCAACCACCGCTAAAGCATCCTGACTTTAAGGATGTCCAAGAACTTGTTAGCCTCTTCCCCTCAAACATTCCAGTAAATCCTTTTGTTTTGCATGCAGAATTTGGCAATTTTGTAAGTCATGCTCTGACACACGAACGTCAGACAAATAAGAAGCTGGATACCGTAGCTAAAGTGGGCAAACTCGCTGAAGGTTTCAAGTCAGCTTTCCCATTTACCAACAAAGCGTACAGACTTCTCTTGATGGTGCCTGTGACAGTGGCTAAGGATGAGGAAACATTCAGCAGGCTAAGCTAATCAAGACATACAGTACCTAAGAACGTCAATGAAGGAACAACGATTGGAATCGCTGATGCTTATCTCTTGCGAGAAAGATATTACAAATACCATTGATACTGACACAATTGCAGCCAAATGGGTGTAACTTAAATCTCGAAGAATCAGATTTACATGAGCAAACTTAAATAGTACGATTCAGATAAATTTTACTTCAGATCTGTTCAATAGTCGGCTATCATAAATTCATAGCTGAAAATAACACTATATTAATCACTGTGCACTAACCACCAAATAAAACATTCATTGCCATTGTAGTTAGAAACATTAAGGGAAAAGAAAAAAGAAGAGTATTTTCGATACTCGTGCAATAAGTGTGATTGTTTTAAGTGCTTCTTTTCTTACAATATATTCCAAATGAAAGAATCATTGCGTTCCAGATTAAATGTTTCAGTGTGTCATGATTAACTCGAGCCGATTGCCAAATCTAACTGTCAAATATGAAATAACGGTACTTTACCTTTAGTTGAAATACATTGTAACTAGTTAAATGCAACATGTTATTATAATTCTTATTGACTTATAAAGACGTTGTCCAACAGAATTCTCGTATTTAATGGACCGACCATTTAACTTTTGAGGGGGAGGGGGGGGGGGGTTTACTGCTGGCAGGGAATTTTTTTTCGGGGATCGTTATGTGCAAGATATTTTTTTTCATCCCATCACCATGTACGATTTTTTTTTTGCCACACTTTCTTTCGTAGCAGTTTTTTTTTCAATACTTATACTATTTAGATTCTTTAATTATAGTTAACGTTGAGTTTTCTAGCTTCATGCATTGCTCTTAATAATACATATTGCTATGAGGTATAACATTTGGTTCAGGGCCTTTTTTAAGGATGTGTAACTGGAGAGGACATAATTAGTGGGGGACCTGGAGAAGTTCCAGTCGGCAAGTCTGTATCCAGGGCCGTAGCTAGCATGTATAGTTGGGGGGGGTGTAGGCCAAAAATTTCCAAATGACGAAAAAAAATTCCGAATATATCATGGCATACTAAGCCACAAAGGTGTTTGCTATTCGGAAAATGAAGACGCAATTTACAAACAAAAATACGCATATTTTACGCACAGACATATTACAGAAGCAGTGCGGTAGGGAGCTTTTGTTTATTGGGGGCAGAAAACGAGGACCGGAGGCCCGAGGAAATTTTAATATTTCGAGTCTCTGAAATGCCATTTCCTGGACTTTGGGGAAGTTTTGACAGAATGCTGATGGTCAGAAAAAAGCGTTTTAGTATGTCGAAATTTAAAATTTGCTTACAATTTATAGTGACAATACAATTTTATAATATTTTCTCTGTTTAACAACTAAAATTTTGTTCTACTATTATTGCCGTAATTTTCCGAATGGCCAACCCGATTTTCTGAATATGTTGGTTCTAGAAAAGTTGGGGGGGGGGGTTAACCATCCCCCAATACCCCCCTCGCTACAGCCCTGTCTGTATCACTGCAACTACCTACAGCATACATATGCATGGTTTAACTAATAAGTATACGTCATAGGGCAGCAGCTCAGGCCATGCTTAACTAGGACTCTGAGACAACTGAGTCGACCACCGAAGGTGCGAGCCTCTAGAGGGGTCTGGGGGCATGCCCCCCAGAAAATGTTGGATTTTTTGAAGCTCAGATAAGCTATTTCCAGCATTTTGAGGAGTTTTCCAACAAGAAATTAACCTTACACTAGTCCCTGAAAATCAAACCAGCTGATCTTGTCGAACTGGTCAAATCGATCCGTGCAACCATGCTGTTTTGCAACATTTTTTTCCCCACCAAATACTGGGGCAGGATATTTTTTCCCCAGTTTGTTAGTGCAGGTATTTGGTTTTGTTTTTTCAAAATCACCCACCCCCTCCCCTCAAAAGTTAAATGGTCGGCTCCTAAGATATGTCAACGTAAAGGATATGTCATGCTCAGTGGCGCCGTGGCCGGGGGGAGACCCGTCGGAAAATTGTGAATGTTGTCGGAAATTTTTGGAAAATTGACAACGTTGTCGGAAATTGTCAAAGTTTCCGACGTTGGTAAATTCGGAAATTTTTTGATAAATGGAGAAAATGGGTGATGTCCGGAAAAATTTTAAGATGTAACGAAAAATTTTGGTATGTCCGGAAAAATTTTTTGACCCCTAAATGGTAATATTGACCAAAATTTTTCGGCGACGGGGAGAGGTCGCCCAAAAAATATCTGTCGGAAACCAACTTTCAGGTTTGTCGGAAAAGTACAGCCCTTGGCCCCCCCCCCAAAAACAAGGGTCCTAGGTTCATAATATATCATGCTAAAAACAAATTTGAATGTGTTAAAATGTCGTTTTCTGACCATCGGAATTCTCCAAAATCGACCCCCAAAATCGAAGAAATGGGATTTCACAGACTGTAGATTTAAAAATTTTCTGGGGGCATGTCTTCAGACACCTCGAGATTACTCACGCCAACGGCGCCCGGATCCTGCCTTCGACAGGAGAACCACACCACACTTTGTCGGCAAATTTTATACTCACCCTTCCCTACTTAAACCTCCTCGCAATAGCCCTGGGAGCGACCAAGGTAGCAAATTTAATTCATGTAGCTGGCAAAATTCTCAATTTTAATTAACAGATAAGGTCCATACAGACCGGACGCGATTTGGCAACACGACGCGAATTTTCAATTAGTTCAATGACATTTAACTTCAATATTTTTCTATGTTTTTCAAATATTCGGAACCACTTAAGCAATTTTAGCTATTTGGTCTGCATATCTTGTAAAATTCTAATCCGTTGACGGTTTTATTTGTTTTTAAAAACTGACGAATCGCGTTCGGTCTGTATTGACTTGTAGACTTAAAATGCAATGCGCAAATACCCAAAATGCAATACGCACAGCTAATATGAAAAACCATCGAACACTGTTTGCATTGCGCGAGTTTGGACACGCGAGTTTGGCGTGTACTACACTAGTGTGTACTAGGTATTTTATACATGGTTTAATTTAGTAAGTACATAATGTGTGCTATAGTACTTTGTAGTGTAATAAGTGTAGAAAATACACTGAAACTGGATTCTAATTTTTAAGTCAGAATTTTTTATCAAAATTCTTCTGGCTAGTCTAAAATTTGGATTAGGAGAGTTTCTGAGTTTGTTCTGATTAAATAGACATATTGTTGAAAGCATAAGTAAATGTAGAATAGATCTGATGCCTGGTCATGTGTCTATGTATACAATGGTGGTGGTGGTGGGGGGTACTATTTTTTTAGAATTCATGTGAAGGGGGTCATTGAATATTTTTGTGATGCAGGGGGGGCAGGTACCCTGGATTCCAGAGCCTTCGAAGTAAATAATAAATTGAAATGTCGCGAAGGCTCTGGTTCAACGGGGGCGATTCTTTGATTAAAC